AGCAACAAAAACTGCGGGAACCATGCAAAAAACGCATCTTCGCACGGGCAGCCCGTGCGTTGGCCAGTTATTTTGTCCCTCAATACATGTATTCAATTTAAGTAAAACCATCCGCCATGCAGTAATAACAAAATGTGCAAGTACTATTTAACCCTAACAGCCCTAATATTTCCGTCACCAAACGCTCTATCGCACTAGCTGTGGCTGAAATCAACAAGTACCATTAAAATGTAACGAACAAACCTCGAAAACAATGGCACATGAATCCGTTTTATCACCGGTATTCCCCAGTGCTCGCATACCATGATACAGCACGTGGCTGAGTAGAAAATCGAATGCACTTCTCTCTAAAACACAAACATTCACTGTTTTTTAAAATTTCCGGAGTCGTACATGGACAGAAAACATTCGCATGAAATTTCGGCTTGTTGTGTTGTGTAATTCCAGGACTGGAAAATTTCCAGCCAAAGTGCGCGCGTTGTTATGTGAAATGAAGGCGCATCAGTACAAAACGCAAAAAAATTGGATGAATAGGAATGTTTCGGTTCATTAGTTCATAGACATTCTATTGCCAAGTGTTATTTTTGAGAGGATCGTTGGAAAGACATCCCTTCAGAATATAAAGCCAACGTCTCAATAGCCCACAAGCCGACCATCAGATGACGCAGTACTGAACAAACCAGCTGCGGAAGTGGAAAATCTGTCAGTGTGTTATCGTATTTAAAAATAAGACTTTCATAATAATAAACAATCTAATTTGAAGAACCTGCTGAACAAACGAAAGTCGGAAAAAGCTTGATAGCTGTACGGTGCAGAATTTCTTTTTCTGATGTTAGAGCACAGATGTATATTTTACGGCGCCATTCCGGACAAATCTTCATAATGCTCACTGCTGGGATCGTACCTGCTTTCACAGTCACTGCTAAAATACACAAACTTTTTGTTTCCATTTAGGAAATGTGATGCATTAAATGAGATTAGTGATTTACCGAACAAAAAAACCCAATACAGATAAAATATCGGCTTTAAATCAGCGACAAATTTGGTCAAATTTACAAAGACCAGCGGTCTTATGACTAGTGTTCAATATTTCGTATTTTGATCAACTTTCTCAGTTCATCGAGGAAGTTCAGGACGAAAAATACCCGCACATCATAAGCGTAAAACCAGTGAAAAAAAAAAAGAACCTAAGGCACAGCAACAAACGCATAAAAATATGTATGGGATGTGCCGGCATAACATAAAAGTGTAAAAAATATTCAGGAAGATGTATATTTTTGCAAACAAAAAGTAAGCGTGGCTCTGAATTTTTTTTATACGCGTATTTTGTTTAGAAGTTATGATCAAAAAGGAAATTCTATTAAACAGAACTAACAAAGATATCGACTGCAATGCAAAGATAATTTGCTGATTTCTGATAAGGCCGGAAGGGAAATGTAAAAGCGCTTCATATCAGCAATCAATTCCTGAAAATCATGTACATTTTACAAACGACACAATCTTACAGCAAAATGAATTTACGCAAAAAAAACAGAAACCACGCAACTCTGAATTAATCAGCAAATTCAAAATTGGCCCATATGTCAAGGATTAGTGGATGGATAGTTTTAATGTTGCATGAACGAGTGGATGGAACCCGCTACTTCTTCATCCGACTATTGCCTTTCCCAAATTTCAACCAAAATATGATTAGGAGCCCTCCCTGACAAGCAGTGAATGGTACCTGCGAAAAAGTAAACGACAACTCAGGCGAGCACCGAAGACTTGATGCACATGTACTGAAACAGGCGGAGATATTAGCTGGAGATGTGCAATTCACAACCGTTCGGCTTGGCGCAGCTAGATCCGGTATGTAGGAGCTTCCCAGTAACATCACTAATGGAGGATTCTCATACCAACCGCCTGAACGGTCTTGAACCCGCTGCGTATGCACCAGTCACTCCAAAGTTGAATTTTTTCACCAAAGTTATCTTAGATGCTCGGCACATGAATGTATTTTACATGTGAAGATAATTTAAGAGAATCATCAAATGAAGCAAAAAACTGGCAAAATCAGAGCAAAAACTGACTAAAACACGCTAAGTTATGTTGAAACTATGAGAGAGAAAAAAACCCCCCTTCAAGATGCTACGTCGAATCTGGCAAACCAAACACGCTACATAGTAAGAAATGCAAATGGACATTAGTTTACCGAAAAAAAGTTGAGGGATAGGAAGGAGAAATTTTACATGTGTTTCCCCCTGCGAAAAACCAAAAATCCAATTTTTGCATGTGTTTCCCCCTGCGAAAAACCAGAGGAGAGACTGGTGATGCAACTCAGAATATAACAAATCCGGCACTCTCCTCTGGTTTTTCGCAGGGGGAAACACATGTAAAAATTAAGTCAAGTAAACTTAAGAAGTACCGCTGTCTGTAGCCAAGGCAACGAAATGACGGCAAGCCAAAAGTTCGTTCCTTCGCGTACGATATCTGCGAATGCCGTAATAAGCGAAATTACTGAGAAAAGCACATCCTCGCCATCACTGTACTTCCTTGAGATATTTTCGAGAATCTGAAAAATCCGAGTAATCGGAATTTGCACCAGTAAAATCCACTTTTTGGCTCGAATTTCCTCGTCTTTAGTCTAATGCCTTATGACTACGACAATCTTGGTTCGAAAATGGGAAAGCGAAAAAGTTTAAACTAACAAAAAACCCATGAGATTAATAAATAGAGAAAGTACTAGTCAACCATAGGCATAGTTACCTCAGTAATCTCTGAATTTCCAGGAACTAGTCGAGTGACCAGTGCACGAGTTTTCTCAATATCTGGTATAACCTTTGATGCCAGAATCATTACTTCCCTCTTGCGTAGATATTTCGTCACCTGAAATACTTGTTCAAATAAACCTCCTCCGTATTCTCTCTCTACGGGAGGCAGAAGCACTCGGGAAGTAGCTCGAATGGTAGCACGTGGCAGCAGCAACCACCTCTAAGTACGACCGTTGGTGGATGAAAATTGATGAAAATAATATATAGTGGGGCGCACCAAAACCGTGGTGATGGGACTCATTACCAGGAATCCCGATCTTTTTGCGATTTGTTTCCAGTTAATAAGGGACCTTTCTATGAACTGATTCTACTGGAACTGTCTCGCTTTGTAGTTGACTAATATGCCTTCTTAATTCACTTACTCAGCCAGCGAAGACTTACTCACACAAAACTTTGCTATCACTGCTAGCTAAAGAAATTACGTCACCTTGCGATCCAGCTCACTTCAGGAGCAATTTTTAGAAAACTCTGGCCACCAAATGCTATTCGTATAAATTTTTTCACTTCAACAGCAAATAAGTTTGTGTCTTTTAGTAAGGATTTTAAATGGAAAGTCCTGAGGATTAGCTATCTGAAAAAAGCGTTACCTCGGTTTCAAAATAACGTTCGCGGGCAAGCGTCAACTGGCCGTTCAGCACTTCGTACAACAGGCTAAAAAACAAAGTTGCATCATTCCAAAAAACAAAAAAAGCCCAAAAGCATTAAAAGCAGGCCTAAAAAAAGCAAACAAATGAGAAAAAAAACATTTCAAAAAAACGGTTTCAGTGAAAAAAAAAAAATACAAACGAAAAGTGTGGAAATATTAGAAGCTAAATCTCACTGCGACAGACAATAGCCCTTCAACGTAGACGAGTGACAGCACCTGCCAACAGAAACCACCACTAGTTGGGCTTTAAGCAAATCTTGGGAAGCTATTCATCACCTGGATGGAATGGGAAGCCACTCAACACTGCGCCAGCTAAATGCTCCATACCACAAAAACTGTCCGTTCAAAGCTCGACATAAATCAACGCTGTATCACTGGCTTTGCCCAAAATGAGCAGTTTTGTGAGTTTTATGAAAATCTGAGTTAGGGGTTAATCCAGATGACTCGAGGCCTGGGAATAAGGACAACTACGGAAGCTGCTGAGGAGGATAGTTTGTGTTAAGCAGAAAGTAGATGATGAAAACATACGGTAAATCGACGCTCTTTTCCAGGACAACGCTGATAAATGCAAACAATTCACCAATATTTTCCGGTTCAATTTTCAGGTCCAATTCAAAAATTTTTCCCACTATTTTGTAAATATTTTCGGTAAAATCAGCTGAATAATTCCGTACCTCCACATCCATCCGTGACAATATCGAACATACGTCTATCAAGAGATTTACCAAGCGCTCTTCTGCAACAGAAGCAGTAGCTAACAGATGCTTATAAACATATGCTGCTTGCAGAATTCCTCGGGCGAAGAATCTGTAAGCAGATTATCGACACTTAAAAAACCGGTTGCATTAGCACATATGATTCAAACAAATTAGTTTTGACAGTAAAATTCACAGAGCTGGTAAAACTGCTACAGGACGGAGGGACGTGCTTGTGATGAAGGATGAATGAGGCATGGGAAAAATCTACAAAAGATCTAAAGTTATGTTCACAGAATTACAAAGTTCGTTTTCTTCAAAAATAGTCATTTCTCCGAATCGTGGGATATCCCTCTCCTCTAAAAATTCAGTCACAGCCGACTTTCGAAGGATCGATAAGCTATCCTTACGCATTATCTACAGTAAGTGATTTTTAAGTATGTGAAGTCTCCAACCATTATTGATACATATCTTTAAAAAAACTCACCTAACTTAAGGCGTGAACTACATAAATTCGCAATCTGCGTTGCCCATTTGAGTGCATGCTCGATTTCAACATTCATAAATGTCTGTCTTTCATTGAGCCTGAAATGCACAAAACAACGATTTAAACTCTTATTTAGTGACTTAACTGTTTTTGGTTGAATCTAAATAACTGGCCAACGCACGGGCTGTCCGTGCGAAGATGCGTTTTTTGCACGGTTCCCCGCAATTTTTGTTGCTACTGGCACTGGTTTTTTCGGCAAATGCTTCTAGCTAAACAAATTAAGACTGGCCGCCAGAAC